AAACATGGATTATAGGCTGCTGAACAGAAGTGTGAATCAACAGGTGGATCAACAAGCCCAAAGCTTATCCTTTTCATTTCATACACACACACACACACACACACACACACACACACCACACACACACACACACCACACACACACACACTACACAGAGCATAAAGCCAGAGCTGTCTTAATCTGCATTTTCCAGCAGCCAGTTTTGTGCCATTTCACAAACATACTGCACAGCCGAGTAAAGAAAGAAGAAAATGTCAACGTTAATCTGCTGACTTTCTCCTCTCTCATTTGTTGCCTAGCACAGCTCAAGGCGGACTTTATTTTTGTTGAAGTTGCCCGGGTCATTCACCAAGCCTAACAGCTTTTATAGAGACTACCCATTCCTCTAAATGTGCTAGAAGTAAAGCACACCGACTAACATTTTAAACTGTTCTGTTCTATTTAAACAAGAACCTGCACACGGATGCAGAAACTTCACTCTGGAGTGAATTTAGTTGAATCAATACGGGTCACCAGGGCCCATAACTGATAAGATGGATGAAGCAAACCCTAACCTTAAATGGCTCACACAACCTGAGAGCTTATTAATTAAACAAACAAGATAACGTGTTCATAAGTAAGCTTTAGAAGTGGTGGTTGGTTGACTTTTTAACTTTAAGTCTTTATGCTAAGCTAATCATCTCATGGCTCTCACTTAACATTGACTGTTAGCAGAGGGGATTCTCCAATGAGATTGAGTGTACAAAGTCACATACTCTGTGAGTAATAAGGACAGTCTCCTACTTGCAGCTTTTTTTGTCTTGTTAGGAATGTTTGATCTGCTTTCATAATGTTAAAATGGTATACAAGTTAAAGAAAGACAAGTGTACTTAATGTGTTGAAGGTCAAGTAATTCGGTCTGAAACCTTGACTGTTTTGAGGTTTTATGGAATCTAAAATGTCGAGATACACATTTGTTTTAACATCAGTCAGTTTGTAGTCACATTAACTATTTTCTAAAGCTATAGATTTTATGTCTTTCAGCACTGCAGTGTCAAGTTATTTGTGCATCTAGGCCAAGAATCTGTACACCTCTTATCAAGACATGCTATTTCTGGTGTCATGTGTATGTGTGTCTTACTGTCTTTGAGTGGGTGTTGATGGAGGTTTATTATGTTGGATGTTGATTCCATTGCTCATATCACAACTCCGTGCAGAGTCGTTGCAGGGCTCAGTGCTTTGAATCTTTGACGCTGGAAAATGATGAGAATAAACTTTGGCTGGGTAATGAGACACGTATTATACAACCATAAGCTGGGAGTATGTCTGTGGAAAGCAAAACAACTAATAAAACATATTCCGTTTAATTGCTATAGCTACAAGAGTGATTGCCTGTGTAATGAAACTTGACATAGAAGTTGGTCTATCAAAGCAGCAAAAGACAGGGCTAATGCATTCGATGATTGGTTCTCCTTGACCACAAGTTCCTAATTTCCGGCCAACTGATGTCAAACTTGCTGTAACTAAGAGGTATCTTGAGGATAGTGGGGAAATTTCCAGGTGCGTGCATTACATAAATTAAAAGAAAGAAAAAAAAAAACGTCCACTGTGAAACATTTCTCCTTTCTGTGGATATTTGCCAATTTTTCAGCATGTTCATGTGCTGAATGATTTCAAAGGTAGCCATTCATAGGTGAAAGTAAACGGTGTCTGCTCTGAGATGTCTAAAAGTGGCGTAATTTCTATCACTGAGGTGTTTTTTAGTGGGGGGGGNNGGGCAGGTGAAAAGTAGGTGCAGACTCAATTTTCACAGGGAAAATTTGCCTGATTAAATATTTGCAAATGCTTGAGAAAAGATTTAGACCTTTGTGTGATTAGAGAAACGCCACAGCCAAGGTGCAGTGGCCCATTAAAGATGCTAGAGGTGGTATTTATAGCATTCTACCGTCTGCTGACGCACATTAACAAGCTGGTGGTGATGAGCAGGATTCCTTGTCTGTAAGCTCATAAATCAGATACTTATGTTTCCTTGATAACTGTTGAATAACACAGATAAAATAATATATAATTTCACAGCAATCCACATTTGTGGATCAGGGGCATTGGACAGTTCCAGAAGGAGAAATATTCATCATTTAATATAGGAGGGGTGCCAAATAAACTGCTGGCAGACATCTGTAGTCAGACCATGTGGTCTATTAACTTCAGCATCTCAACATGAGGGGTATAAAAAGCCAATCTTGCTGACTCACATAAAGCTCATCACAGCATAGCTGGTCATTCTAATTGTCTTACTGGTTTCCTTTGTATTACGCAATACGTTGACATCTCCCGCACAAATAATCTCCCCTCTAGGTCACAGGGTAACAAACAAACAATACAAGGGATTGGAGACAAAGGGGTGTAAGTGCCATGTTGCGCGAATATGAGTATTAAATATTAAAGCTCTCAGTGAGATCTTTTCATTGCGAAAAAGGAAATAACTGATATGATGACCAATAGGTTGTAATTAAAAGAAAACTAAACAGCTTAACAGTAAAAGTGTTGTTATTTGGAGTTTTACAGCTCCTGAGTCCCAGGACGCATCAATAAATGATAAGGGCACAAAAAAGGTAGACGTACGTGCAGCTGCACTGTTTATAGACATTTTCGAGCTTTTAAGGAAAAAATCTGTATCAGTTGATTTGATATGTTCCTAAAATGTTATTATTTATTTATTTTAAATGAATGTGGTTTACAATTGTTTATTTACATATGCCCATATTCTGCATTAGTCTACTGTATACAGTGTATACAGTGCAAGCGTTTTCTACCAGCCCCATCTATACTGCTGCCTCCCTACCTAATAGGTTGATGACCATTGACCCTTCTGCCAATTATATGCCAAAGATGCACTTCCTCTGTTTATGAAGGGTACTAGCAGTGAAATGCCCCACAATATTTATATCACGAGCCTGTATCTTTCTAACCTGCTGCCACTCCCCGAGTGGTTCTCTCCTCTCTCCCTGCGTGTGTGTCTAATTGTGTGAGTGGGGACAGGTGTGTTGGAGCCAGAGCAGAGCCCCACCAGCTGCACCTAATCTCAATAATCAAGACCTCTACAAATACTCATCCTTGCCCCTACCATGCTGCCAGATCATAGCCTCTGCACCACTCAGTCTATGCTTTGACCAATTTTTCACGCAGTTTCAGTTTTTTTGTTGTTTCCTGTTTTTTTTCCCCCTGCCTAACCCTGTCTCCTGTTCCCTTGGCAGTCCTCTCTGCCCTGGCTCAAGTCCCTGTGCCCACCACCTTGTCTCTTCTCATCAACCCTGCTTCCTTGCCCTGGATCCTTGCTCATGCCAGCTTCCAGCCCAAGCTTCAGCCCCAGGTTGCCAGCTTTCATCCCATACCCGAGTTTATCAGCTACCAGCCCAAGCTTCCCATGCTTGCATTCCCTTGCCGAGCCTTTAGAATGAAATCCCTTTTTCTGTTTAATCCTCTCCTCACCTTGGAGCATCTGCACTTGGGTTTGCTAACCTAGCCTTAACAACTGCACGACCCTCCCAGGCTGTCTAGGGGTCAGCTGGATATAACTTGCTTTCTGTGGCTTAAGTGCTCTGAATGTTTTCAAGTTCATTACAGTAGCTTCAACTTCTGTCCAATGCTTTGTGCGACCCTGATTTTACTAGGTATAAGTCTCTCTACTACTAGTGACTGTTGACTTAGAGAAACATTTTCTCTCCCAATGGCCTTTTTCCTTGACATTTTCTATGCTCAGATTCTAATGTTGGGCATTTGCTTGTGGCATTATGCTTCTCCTTCCTGCAACACCGACACCTATAATCCCCTGAGATTCCTCCTGTTCGTCACTTCTCTCCTCACCTGTCTCCCACCTTTTGGATTCGCTGGTTGAAACATGTTCTCTCATGTATCGTGTTTTTCTTTAGTGTGAAGCAATCATTTAATTTAGCTAGAACTGTGTCACAGTTGTCGTCTTTCTCCCCTATACGAGTGCAAACCTTGAAATTGCTGCCTTTTTTTTCCAACTTTGCAGTCGACCTGTACTGGATGAATCTCCTTCTCCAGGCAGGCCAGTCTCTGCAGGCTTCACCATAGTGTCTCTCACACTTCTGACATCATGTTAAGGGGACTACTGGACAACACAGCTTATTGGTACTCACAACACCACAACATCTCAATCAATCTTTCTGACTCACGTACAGCTTGTCACAGCTTAGCTGGATATTCTACCTCTCTGACTGGTTTCAAGGTCAGTCTATATGCATTACCCAATACCTTGACAAGGGGGATGATAATGATATTGTGACTTATAAGGATGAGGGGGTATTTTAAGAAATGGATTTAAAAAAAAAAAAGAAAATCAATAATCACCTCAGCCATGGGTGTTATTGTGTTGGTCTTGCGGGAGCCAATCCGAAACTTGGCAGCCTTGTAGATCTTCCAGTAAACAAACAGCACCACACAAAGCGGCAGATAAAATGCCCCGAAGGTGGAGAAGATTGTGTAGGACGGCTCCTGGCTCACCTGGCACTTCATTCCCTCTGAGTAGGTTTCCCCCCAGCCGAAGAGAGGCGACAGGGAAATGATGGAGGACAGCAGCCATGTGAGTGCGATCATCACATTGGAGATCTTTTTACGTGTCTTGAGCGTGTACTGCAGGTGCCTGGTGATGGACCAGTAGCGATCCAATGCGATGGCTGTCACGTTCCAGATGCTTGCTGTACAGCAGAGCACATCGAAGGAGATCCACACCTGGCACAGCACACGACCCAGTTTCCACAACCTGCCATTCAGCTCATGGACAAGGCTGAGCGGCATGACCAGGGCGGCCACCATCACGTCGGAGATGGCCATGGAAGCAACCAGGTTGTGGGGCACCCGGTGGAATGTCCTTACCCTCAGGATGGTCACCAGCACCAGCAAGTTCCACACAAAGGTGGCCACCACCAGCATTGCCAATAATGTGAGAGTCAGCACGCTGAAAACCGAGAAGGGCCGGTAGATGTTTCCCCCGGAGTCATGGCCGTCGAAAGCTCCACTGAAGTTGGTTGTCAGTATGCTGGTGTTGGGATTCGTCATGGTAGCTGCTTACAGCCCCGCAGCCAAGGGCCAAGGCGATTCAGAGACAATTTCTGCAGACAGTTGATGCATTCTACAGTGGGGAGAGAGAAGAGGAACAAACAAGACTAAAGACATGCACTACTCACAAAAAAAGTAGCTTTTGCTGCTGGCTTTGCACAATTGCGTAAAATGCACTAGTGTACATCACTGTGTCGTTCACAAGAGAGGTGATTTGCTCACAATAGTAAAAAGCACTTGAGTTTCTTGCAGCTGTCAAACAACCTGCCTACAACTTTCAAGTGCAATTTCATCTACAGTTAAAAAGGCTCAAAAGTACTCTGGGACATATCTGTGTCTAGAAAAGACGATAAATATTCAGTTTCATCATCCCACTGTCGTTGTTTGATTAGCATCAAAGTAAGGCCTCGGTTGCAAAATGAACAGTTTTAAGTGGAGTCTTTCTTATAATCTCATTCAGAAATACCTCACTTTGGCATGCAGTAAAGAGATTCCTCTGTTAAACAACGTGCAGTTATGTTTTGTTAGCACAGCGCACCATATATTTTCACTTCAAATCAGATATCGAAGAAGTCTGTTGGAGAGATTCTTTGTATTAACGTAGGATTCTCTGTCTTGTCTGTTTCAGATTCACAAAAGAAAAGATTTGACATGCCAGCTCTATCAATAATTTCACAGTTGAGGCTCAGCAGGTTTCAAAGTCTACACTACACAATGTTAAACAGTACAGAAACAATGAATCTCTTTCTTTGGTTATCGATCTTAAACTTACAACTGCTACTGACAGTATGAACGATTAGACTAATTTAAGTACAAGTGGCACAATTACATAAATCAACTATTACATGCTTTCAATGACTAAAAACTTAACTTAACTTAAGCTAACATTAGAAATCCATCATTTCTGCCCCAAATACATTGTTATGATAACTAAGACACATCTGACTCACAGAAGCATCAGTTTTAGCAGCATCACTGGAGGCAATAATGATTTCATGCATCATGTTTCAGAAAGCATATTCAGATGTGCCTGATTAAACATTCTCAAAAGATGATAATTTTAATCATTAATCATTTCTTATTTATACATGCTCAGTTAAACTACTTCTACTTTAACCTATTCCTATGACCTCCTCCTGATAAATCCTCCCAGGCTTTTTAAAAATACGGATCTTACCTTGACCTCGTGCTTCTGCCCAGCAGAGTGTTTAAAGTTTTGACTGTAATCTTGAATATTAAATATAACCATTCATTTTGCATTTCCTTGTGACATTGTAATGAAGGGTTCTGGATGACTTGCTCAGGTTTTTCCTTTGCCACTGTGTCCATAATGAGTGTAGCTAATGCACATAATTCAGTAGAAATAAATAGCTCTAATTGAGTTTGATTTAAATTGCAGGATTTAATCAATAGGATCATATTCTCGTGGCTGTTTGGTCTGTAATGACATCACTTATGGCTGTATTACCGAAGCAATAATATGGGGAATAAATCACATGGACATGAAGAAGATAATTAAAACATAACAGAGTTCCTGCTGAAATGCTTTGTTCATATATGTTTTTACAACCACTGGATTGTGTCAGACTGATCAACAATATGGCCCGACGGGTAATAACAATACGATCCATGTCCCTGTCAGTCGGTGTATTTATGTGACATGTGACACTGTCTCTTAGCATCACAAACCATGCTCTCTAATCAAAGGGTCCAACCAAACACACCGATAGGCCCTCTGCTCTCTCTTCTCCCCATTTTGAAATTGGACAACCGTTATGAAGGGAACAGGCAATCAAACATTCCCGCTCCCACCCTCAAACAGCTGTTACTCACTCTTTGAAAGAAAGAGAAACACATTCAAGTGTATATATGTGCATGTGAGAGGAGGGAGACATGCTGATAGACAGGAATACAGGAAAAGGATAATAAAGGTCTATATTTTGGACTGTTTTCCAGACAGTTGTGTGTCAGTCACTGTCTTGAGATCTGCAAGTGCCATCTGGTTCACTGGGCATATTTACTCAGGAGCCTTGTGGGGATTTTAGTTAACTGTGAGAAATTAGACAGAGACAGAGGATGATTAACATCTCATCACCTATCACAAAGTCTATGCGCTTTTACTTTGTAAGTCCAACAGGAGAACAGAGTTGAAAAAAGATAAGTTATAACTGTGAAGAATTTTCATGTTCCTTGACAGAGCTGCAACAAGGAGATATTTCCAGGCCGCAAATATTTCATTATAATTTTATAATGAGCAAATTTATATGTAACTACAGACCTTTCTGGGCTTCACTCGCCTTTGCAAGAAAGCCACACTGCACCAGTTGCTGTGGAAATCAAGACGTTAGACACAAACTTAGATTAATGTGTTTTGCATGTTTTTTTAAATCAAATTTTCTTGGCTGCAATTATTTCTAGACCATACAAATTTGAGTGTAATTTTCCCAGCAAAAGAATAGAATAGTAGTGTGTATTTGCCTTTCGTGTCTCTTTTTTTCTGTTTCTAATTTATGATTATTATCATTTTTTGCCCCTTCTATGCAATCATAAAACACCATTTATAACAAAGCATTGAAGGCAGATTCAGATGAAAAGCACTTGGACATCATCACAACACACTGTCACAACCTTGTGATTAAAACAGTAAGAGTGTGAATGGCATCCCCTTTGTGTAAAGCGCCCCTGTTCTGGAACTGTTGGCTACACTGTGTTGGTTACACAATCTTCAGGGGATGACATTTGCAGCTGAAAGGAGGGAAGGTATGTAGAAGTGTGTCCTTAGGAGTGGGTGATATTAAAACCATAAAACGAACCTTCAACTAGAGTGGTAATTCAGTTCTGTTTTAGGCAGCTTTAGCACTTTGGTTTGGTGAAACATGTTTTCCAAACCAATGTGATGTAACACATTACAGCATGCCCCTCTTACTCATTGAAAAATGTACATGTCCATTATTCACTGAAAGAGATTAAATTTAAATATTTAGGAGCTTACATGTCCCACGATGTTTCCTGCCTGCACTTGACTCTGGTTATAAATGATAATCATAACCAAGACACTTGTTACACATCCCCCCCAACACAGCTTCACTTTTAAATCCTATCTTAAAATTTCCCAACGGTATTGCTTGTTAGAAAAGAAAAAACTCGGCGGCAACAATTCATTCATATTAGTAAATAACTCACCCCATTAAACAGTTCAGCATAAAGCAGTCCTGCATGAGATGCTCGGTCTTAATCTCTCCATCGAAATTCACTTTGCTGGTCTTGTCAGCGGAGTGATGAACCGCCTGGCTCAGCGTTGCTGACAGCAGAAACACACCTCGCACTGAGGATACAGAGGCGCTGGAATGAACCACACAGTGGTCGGAAGGGGGAACTGAGTCCAATTGAGATGATAAACACTGCGTTTTCTAGGCATGTGGGAGACTTGTGCGTGTGTGCGTGTATTTTTGCTTGAGCAGGAGCCTTGTTTTCAGTAACATTCGGTGTTTAAGTAGATGATGCCACTGTCAGGACAGACTGTTGCTGCTCAGGAAACATTCCGTGTTTCTAATTAGTCTTATTCTGCAGTGATCAGAGGGTGGCTCAAGGAGACACCGATCCTGCTGCTTTATGATGGATGATACATCCGTGCGACCACCCTTTAAAATCCCCAGGCATTTCTCACATATCCTGCAGACGTGATGAATCCGTATTAAAAAAAGTAATTCAAATATCATTTATTGACAGGAACGTGACCCTGTACAATATTAAGTTTCTCCTGATTTAGGGTCCGTGTAGAAAATCAAGTAGGGGAACTTCCTTTATCCAGCGATGTCCAGAGAAAACCTGTGAGTAAACCATCTACCCATTAAGTATCTGTTTCTAAGATGTTTTCATTTTGAAAAGAAAACTATCTTGTTTATTAATGTTAATTGGCCTACCTTCACCAGCAACACGCTGACTGATGGACTGGGGGACAGTGGGGTTAATCACATCAAAAGTGTCCTCTTCGATGCCCCTATGTGCAAGAAAGGTGGTCCATTGCCCTCTAGGGTGCCCCTCCAGTGGAGAAAATGCAGTGCAGTGCCATAAAGGCTGTCCTATAAAAATAAATTGGCCTCTATTTGCCAGTAAATCAGTGGTTCTCAAACTTTTTCTTTTAAACCCCCCTTCAGAAGTCAAAGACAGTTTATGCCCCACACCCCACAATTGTTTTTTAGCAAAGCATAATAGCATTATCCAGTTCTTGCTTATTTATTTGTTCAACTCCATATTTTTCCTCTGGTCATTCCGTCCCCACCTGCAGTGGCTTTATCCCCCACCAGTTTGAGAACCACAGCTCTAAATGGTTAAACTGTTAATAGTTCCCTGAGCGTTTTTATTTCAGACAAGTTGTAGTTTAACTTTAAATATGAGTCACAGAATAAAACAATTTTAATCTTGACCATGGTTTGGAACCGTTTCACCATAAATGCATCATGACTTTCAGGGCAGAAAAAATTAAAAAAGGGGACCAGGCTGAATCCACAGTGACAGTCATATAAATAGTGCTATGATGCATTATGGTGAAACAGGTTCCAAAACCAATACGTTCAAAGAACTTATAATTGTTCTCCATAATACATGGACTCATATTTAAGTTAAACTCATACCATACTTCTGATTAATAAATTACAGACGCTCAGGGACTAATTCTAACAGTTATATAACATAGAGCTGTGTGTTCACTCAAACTACTGGTGCGGATAACAAACCACTAGCAGGTGACGGAATTATCCTAGAGATAACATAATATAATGGTATGATTGAACTAATTATATTAAAAACTAAAACTTCCTTGAAGATACACATAGATATATGACAAAAATAGAATATAAAATAGAGTTAATCTAATGCTTGCAAAAAAAACCATACACCTCACTCTGGGTGTGTCGAGAGCAAACTATTAAGAATATCTTCTTTGAACTCTCTCTGACAGGTCAGTGCCTGAGTATTAAAAGAAAAAGTTTGAAAAACCAACTCGCACCTTTTCACATGCGCAATACACAACACCTAGAGGACCAAACAAACTACTCATATTTTTATAGGACAGCCTTTATGCACTGCACTGCATTCTTCTCCATGAGGGCACCCTAGCAGGCAAGGACCACCTTTCTTGCACATAGGCACTCGAAGGAGGACACTTTTGATTGTGATTAAAACCCACTGTCCCCCAAACAAGTCCCACCACGTCAGGTTGTTAT